CACCACAGCAGGGCATGGACAAAGGGATGGGACCCAAATGGGGTGGGTTTGGTGGCACCAAAACCCTACAACGGGGCCGGGGCCGTGCCCAGCTTGGATCTTGGGAAGGGATGGGACATGAATGGGGTGGGGTTGGTGACACCAAAATCCCCCAGGGGGACGCAGACAAAGGGATGGGACCCAAACGGGGTGGGTTTGGTGGCACCAAAACCCCACAGTGTGATCTGGTCCATACTCGGATTTGTTCCTGGAGACGGATGGGACCCAAACGGGGTGGGACGGACCCACGGTGCTGAGGGACCCAGAGGACACCGGTGACACTGAGGGGACTTGGCGAGGGGCGGCCATTCCCAGGCCTGGAGGAGCTGGAGGTCACTGCAGCCTTGGAGGAGGATCTGGACAGCTCCATGTGAATCCTCAGAGCAGTGCCAGAGGATGGAGCGTGTCCACCTCTGTCTCATGGAGTGTTCCCATCTCCATCCCACGGAGTGTCTCCGTCCTGCAGAGCTTTCCCTGTCTCCATCCCACGGAGCTTTTCCATCTCCGTCCCGCGGAGCATCTCCATCTCCATCCCTCAGAGCTTTCCTGCCTCCATCCCGTGGAGGTCTCCATTTCCATTTCACGGAGCGTCTCTGTCCCGTGGAGCTTTCCTGCCTCCGTACCATGGAACTTTTCTGTCTCCGTCCCTGCGGAGTGTCCCCTTCTCCATCCTGTGGAGCTTTCCCCATGTCTGTTCTGCGGAGCCTTCCTGTCTCCATCCCATGGAGTTTTTCTGTCTCCATCCCTGTGGAGCATCCCTTTCTCCAATCCATGGAGCTTTCCCCATCTCTGTCCCACGGAGCTTTCCCCATCTCTGTCCCACGGAGCTTTCCCTATCTCCATCCCTCAGAACGTTTCCCTCTCCATCCCTCGGAGCATTTCCATCTCCATTCCTCAGAGCTTCTTCATCCCTTGGAGCGTTCCCATCTCCGTCCCATGGAGCTTTCCCATCTCCATCCCGTGGAGCTTTCCCAAGGACGCGGAGGACAGGGTGGTCACTGGGAGTGGCCGGTGGGGATCGGTGGACGGAAGCCACCCTTGACCACCCCTGTGGTTCCTGCAGCCGGATGGCCGGGCTGGACCTTCATCCCGGTGTCCTGTGATGTACCCAGGGCCAATCCTGGGGYGGAAAAYCCAGAGTCACATCTGGAGGRCCYGGAAATCTTTGGAAACRGGGTGGGAGMACCCTCWGGAGAYGCCGYGGAGCTGGGAGGGGTYAGGGGAGCCCTCGGGGTCCTCCTGCTGCAGAAGAACATCCCAGGCTGGAGAAACCTCCAGCGCGGCCGGAGCAAATCCTGTCCCGGGAGGGACCATTCCAGGCACGGGGACTGGCCATGGGATCATCAGGAGGACCCATCCCAGCTCCACCGTTCCATTCCAGCTCTGCCGTCCCATCCCAGCTCCACTATCCCGTCCAGTCCCAGCTTCGTCATAATGTCAGAGCTCTGCTGTCCCATCCCAGCTCTGCCATCCCGTCCCAGCTCCTCCATCCCATCCTGTCCTAGCTCCGCCATCTCATCTTGTCCCAGCTCCACCATCCCATCACAGCTCCACTATCCCATCCAGTCCCAGCTCCATTGTCCTGTCCCACCTCCACCATCCCAGCTCTGCCCTCCCACTGCAGCTCCACTATCCCGTCCCAGCTCCTCCATCCCATCCCTGCTCCTCCATCCCACCCCAGCTCTGCCATCTCATCCCAGCTCCACCATCCCCTCTCAGCTCCTCCATCCCATCCCAGCTCCTCCATTCCATGACTCCATGATTTTGGGGTGAAGGACCCAGCAGGGCACAGAATGGCAGAGCAGGAGCAGGGAATTCAGCGGGAAGCACAGAGTGCGTCCGGCACGGAGCAGAGCTGGTCTGGGGATGGCTGGGGTGGGATGTGGAGCATCTCCAACACCTTCATTCCACCTGGGATCCTGGGAATGGGGATGGGAAGGGACATTTCCTGGGAATGGAGATGGGACCTTCACTCCTGTGGGATCCTGGGAATGGGGTTGGGAGGGACATTTCCCAGGAACGGGGTAGGGAGGGGACATTTCCCAGGGTGGGGCAGGGAGGTGCTGATGAGCTGCTGGAACATTTCCATGGGCGTCTTCCAAGGGGTTGGGGGCTGGAGGGGTGGGGATACCAGAGGAGATGGATTCACGATGACCTTGGAGATCCCACCCAACCCAACCATTCCACGATTTGGACACAAACCTGGATTTGATAACGACCTTGGGGGTTCCTCCCAAACCAACCCAACCATTCCATGAGTCCACAATTTGGGCACAAACCTGGAAATACCTGGGGTTGATGATGACCTTGGAGATCCCTCCCAATGCATCCCAACCCAACCATTCCATGATTTGGGGCACAATTCTGGATTTGATGATGACCTTGGAGATAACTCCTAACCCAACCATTCCATGATTCAGGGCACAAACCCAAATTTGATAATATTCTTGGAGATCCCTCCTAATCCACCCATTCCATGATTCCCTGATTTGGGGCACAATCCTGGGAATATCTGGGTTTGATGATGACCTTGGAAGTCCCTCCCAACCCAATCCATTGAATGATTCCACGATTTGGGGCACAAACCTGGGTTTGAGAATGACATTGGAGGTCTCTCCCAACCCAACCATTCCATGGATTCCAATTCCAAGATTTCACGATTCCATGACGGGGCTCAATCCTGGGGGTACCTGGATTTGTCAATGATCTTGGAGATCCCTCCCAGCCGATTCCATCACTCCATGATTTGGGACACAAACCTGGATTTGACGATGACCTTGGAGATTCCTCCCAACCCAACCGCGATTCCACAATTTGGGACACAATCCTGGGAATATCTGGAGTTGATGATGCTCCAGGAGATCCCTCCCAACCCCACACATCCAATGATTCCATGAGGTAGAAACTTGCGTTTGATGATGACCCTGGAGGTCCCTCCCAATCCAATCCAACCCAACCTTTCCATGATTTAGGGCCCAATCCCGGGGGTACCCGGGTTTTACAATGACCTTATAGATCCCTTCCAACCCACCCATTCCATAATTCCATGATTTGGGACACAGTTCTGGGTTTGATGATGGCCTTGGAGATCCCTCCCAACCCAACCATTCCACGATTTGGGGCACAAACCTGAATTTGACAATATTCTTGGAGATCCTTCCTAATCCACCCATTCCATGATTTGGGGCACAAACCTGGATTTGACAATGACTGTGGAGATCTCTCTCAGCCCAACCCAACCCTTCCATGATTTCCACAATCCCGGGAATATCTGGGTTTGATGATGACCTCAGAGGTTCCTCCCAACCCAACCACAATTCCACAATTTTGGGCACAATCCCAGGGATACCTGGATTTGACAATGATCTTGGAGATCCCACCCAACCCAACCGTGATTCCACAATTTGTGGCACAAACCTGGGAATATCTGGATTTGACGATGTTCTTGGAGATCCTTCACAACCCAGCCATTCCATGATCTGGATCACAATCCTGGATTTGACAATGACCGTGGAGATCCCTCCCAACCCAACCCAACCATTCCATGATTTTGGGCTCAATCCCGGGAATATCTGGGTTTGATGATGACCTTGGAGATCCTTCCCAACCCAACCCAACCCTTCCATGATTTGGAGCACATTCCCAGGAATACCTCGGTTTGATGATGACCTTACAAGTCCCTTCCAACCCACCCATTCCATAATTCCATGTTTGGGACACAATTCTGGATTTGACGATGACCTTGGAGATCCGTCCCAGCCCAACCCTTCCATGATTTGGGGCACAATCCTGTGAATATCTGGCTTTGTCGATGCTCTTGGAGATCCTGCCCAACCCATCCAACCATTCCATGATTTGGGGCACAAACCTGGATTTGATGATGACCCTGGAGATCCAACCCAACCCAATCCAATGGTGATTCCACAATTTAGGCCCCAATCCTGGGAATATCTGCGTTTGTCGATGCTCTTGGAGATCCTTCCCAACCCAACCATTCCATGATTTGGGTCACAATCCTGGATTTGACAATGACCTTGGAGGTTCCTCCCAACCCAACCCAACCAAACCACGATTTCATGATTCAGGGCACATTCCTGGGAATATCTGGATTTGACAATGACGTGGGAGATCCCTCTGAACCCATCCAACCCTTCCATGATTTGGGTCACAACCGTAGCTTTGTCAATGCTCTTGGAGATCCCTTCCAACCCAACCCTTCCATGATTTGGGACACAACCGTGGCTTTGTTGATGCTCTCAGAGATCCCTCCCAACCCAACCCAACCCAGCCCAACCCTTCCATGATTTGTGTCACAATCGTGGCTTTGCCGATGCTCTCAGAGATCTCTCCCAACCCAACCCAACCCTTCCATGATTTGAGTCACAATCGTGGGGAATCTGGATTTGATGATGCTCTTGGAGATCCCTCCCAACCCATCCAACCCTTCCATGATTTGGGTCACAATCCTGGGTTCGATGACACTCTTGGAGTTCCCTCCCAACCCAACCCACCCATCCCATCCCAAGATTCTGTGATTTGGGACACAATCGTGGCTTTGTCAATGCTCTCAGAGATCCCTCCCAACCCAACCCAACCCTTCCATGCATTATTTGGGGCACAATCCTGGATTTGTTGACGCTCTTGGAGATCCCTCCCAACCCAAACCAACCCAACGGTGCTTCCATGATTTGTGTCAAAATCCTGGCTTTGTCAATGCTCTCAGAGATCCTTCCCAACCCAACCCAACCCAGCTCAGCCCAACCCAACCATTCCATGATTTCGGCCGCAATCGTGGCTTTGTTGCACTTGGAGATCCTTCCCAACCCATCCAACCCTTCCATGATTTGGGTCACAATTGTGGCTTTGTTGATGCTCTTGGAGATCCCTCCCACCCCACTCCAAATTCCCCTCTCGGTTCCCCACTCCCACCCCTCCTCTAACACCCCCCATTTCCCCCCCAGATCTGCATCCTGGAGTGCGAGGGCCAAGCGGTGCCCAGGGCCACCTGGGAGCTGTGCGCGGCCACCGCCCGAACCGCTCCCCGTCCCCGCCGTCCTCCCTCCGAGCCCTGGCCCGGCTCCGCTCCCATCCCGGTCCCCGTCCCGGTCCCGGTGCGGCTGTCCCGGCCCCAACGCCGCCGCCTCGCCGCCGACCCCGCGGAGCCCGAGGACGTTTCCCGGCGCCCCACGGCGGCCATGGCCGCGGCCAAAGGGGTGCAGAAACGGTACGGGGGATTCATCGGCGTGCGCAAATCGGCGCGGAAGTGGAACAACCAGAAGAGGTTCAGCGAGTTCCTGCGGCAGTACCTGGGCATGGCGCCGCGCTCCAGTGAGTACGGCACCGGAGAGCGCCAGAGGATGTGAGAGAGGCACCCCCGGACACCCCAAAATCACCGCATCCCCCCCGGGGGGGCCATCCCGCCAGGGGCTCATCGAGTCATCTGAATAAATCAAAACAAATAGAATTATAATAATAAACAGCGGGGGGA